GATATAATTTTTCAAGAGCTTTATAGAATAATGGGGCAAATTAAGGACCATAAGGGGTTGAGTTGAACAGGACTTGAGCAATTGAAGAAAACCACCAAACTTGTAAGAGCTTTGCCCGTGGTGGTTAAGAGGAAGATGGGGCAGAAACTGGAATGGGAGACTTCAGCTTCCTTAAATTGAAAAAATCCTAAGCATGTTTAAATGTTAGAGGAAGATCAGATTGAAAGGGAATAGAAGCATATGAGAAGAGCTGTAACTCATAGTATGGGATTCCTGAGAAGCAGCAGGAGATAGGAATTAAGACATGGCTGCCTTAGTTATGAGGAAAAGATACATCTTCTAATGGAACAGCAACAGGGTAAATGCTTTATCAGGTTCTAAGCAGGAAATGAGTTGAAGTTGTTTTTCTAGGCTCTTCTCAGTGAAGTAGGAAATATTTACTAACAGTGAAATGAATGTAAGTAATTAGAGGTCTAAAACCAATGAAAGTCTGAATGCTTGAAGTCTGAAGATGGAGATAATGAATTTAGAAACACAGTATTAAGTCAAATTTTTTGAGGAGTTTAACCTCAGTTAGCATGTATTTAGCATTTCTTTCACTTGCTTTTTTATCAGTTTTTTATTTATCCACTAATGACCGTGCTGCTCCCAGTAAACTAAACTGAAAGCAAGTACATTTTAATTGGCTGTTTCCCTAAACTCCTGACTTAAATGCTGACCCAATGTGGGTCACATGGGTCTACAAATATTGACAACTGTAAAAATGAATCAAACTTCTATATTTACTTGCAGCAAACTTTAAAAGGAATTTCCTTTAGATGCTACATGTTTACTCTGTACCTAGGATGATTCGGTATGCTTTACTGACCACGTTTAAGCCACAGAATAACCCACTGAGGTAGGTACTACTGATTGCTTTTCTTCAAATGGAGAAACTAAAGTACACAGAGGTGAAATAACTTCATACAGTCCCACAGGACTTAAGCAGCAGAGCCAAGATTTGAAGACAGTTCAAAGGGTCACTGTATGACTTGTAGTACAGCCTCTCCAACAACCAAAAGAATGGATAAAACCATAGTGATTATATTGCTTAGAATGGAACTAAACAAAACCAAGGAGGGCGTGTCTTGTTACTTCCAATTATCTTGAGAAACTAAAATGTGTAATCATTTTTAGGCAGAAGAAAACTTACACAGTTATGTGGTTATCTAAATCAATGAACACTGCAACACGAATAAACCAAAGTATGCTACTAATTTCATACTACAGCTGACTGACTAAAACAACATAACTTACCTTTATGGTTTGCATATTTTCTTTGTGGAATCATTTATTAATATAATCATTTCAGTAAATGATGTAATCCCCCAAAGTGAACTGTATCAGTACTATTAGGAGACTTTCTTATCTCTGCTTCACAGTTTTAAAAACCGTTAGAGAACATATAAGGACCTATTTCCACATTTTACAGATGTTAGATACTCAGATCTGATGGAGTAAAATATTAAAAGTGAGGAAAAATAAGGTGCATTAACCTGCAAGAAATTCATTCCTAGTGGTCTTTTAAACCTCAGATGCAATGAAGAAAATTTCAAATAATAAAAAGACTTTTCTAGGTAGTCATTACAATCAGTTCGTCTGAGAAGTTGCATCATTATCACAAACGTTTATTGAGTGCCCATAGAACTTATTGCACCTTTATGGTGTTTACAGAGCTTGGCTTATATGCTGACCTTGCCCTTTAAGGAGCTTACAATCTAGTGGAAAGATGGAGAAACGCAGTGATAGTGCAATGAGCAAACAGACACTAGAGACTGAAAATATTCCATAAATGGAAAAGATATCCTGCAAAATGAGGCTTACTTACGGGGATGGCCGATAGTCTTAGATATATTCCTTATTTCTTGAAAGATATCTAGTGTTCAAAGGACCTATGAAGTTGAGAAAAACCAGGATGAAAACAAGACACTTTCTGCTACCTCCTTCTTGGCTCCCTGCAGCTGGGAGTATGAGGAAGATGGGACACAGGTAACGGGGAAACAAACGTTGCAGTACTGTTTTTGCATGTCTGGATTGACTGACCAGGACAAAGCCACTGTTTAGGTAACTTGCTGTAGACAATCCTAAACTAGTTCAAAAGGGGCAAAGGTAAGTTTCTCTGTACCAGTTCTGTGCACACCTACAAAGCTTAAACTACAACATTAAGACGCCCCAAATCGTCCATTATGTTAAAGACACCCTGTCTGGATACAATAAAGATGTGGGAGAATTCCTAGTTACATAGGTAGTGCATCTTGAACACTCCAATGGGAGCTGTATATTTGTGCAGAATACACCTGTTTATGGAGGCACCACATTGGCAAATCCAAAAGGAAATGGCTAGAGGCAGGAAACACCCAGTATAAGTAAATAAAGGCAACTTTTTTTTTTGGTTGAGACAAGATCTTGCTGTGTAGTTCAGGCTGGCCTTGAACTATGTAGCTCAGGCTGGCCTCAGACTCACAGCAATCCTCCTGCCTCAGCCTCCCAAGTGCTGGGATTACAGACATGTGCCATGACGCCCAGCTACAGGTACATTTTATGTTGAGGTGAATGGGTGGACAACAGTTAAGGAACAAGAATATGGTCACTGTGGGAAGGATTATTCTGATCCCACCCCCAATTATGAGTCAAAATGTTTCTTAAGAGAACTCCCTCTTTGGCCAAGACTGAATTGGGTCCTATCACTGGTCCTCATGAGTCAAAAGGAGGGTTTGGATTGTAGCTCTGAGTAGTGAGTGCTTAGTATGGAAAAAGCCAATTATATTTTAATTGATTTTGTTTTCCTAAACTCCTAGCTTAATCCCTACCCCAATGTAAGTTCTAAAATACTGTTGCATGTAGAAATGACTAAACCTTCTGCTTTTACTTGCAGCAACCTTAAAGGGCAATTTCCCTTAGACGATACACTTTGTACCTAGGGTTATTCTGTGGGCATGCACACACATACAAAGGCAACTACGAACAAAGTACGTGCCAAACGTGACTCAGAGGTCAAAACTTAAGCACAATGGAGACAACAGGATACTGAGGGCATTATCTGGAAGGAAAGTGAAGATCAAGTGGAGTGTTCTCTACCCCTGCACTGGGGATTGAACCCAGTGTCTTCACTCTGAGATACATCCCTAGCTATTTGAGACAGGGTCTTGCTAAGCCATCCAGACTGGGCTTGAACTTGCAATTCTCCCAGAGTGCTGGAATTCTATGATTACTCGCTTTAAACAGAGTATAAACAGGTTGGAGGAAATTGAGTGAAATTAAGAGTGTAACCAAGGTCAAGAAATCAGTCAGCTATTGCTATGGTCTGATATGGGTTGAATGCTGCCCAGGGCTTCACGAGCTGTACTTTATCTGAGGTATTAAGAGGGTGGAACCTTAATCTGATTATAGTATTGTGGGGGCAGCAATATGGGAACGCTTAGTACTGAACAGACAACATCACTAGAGGCTGGGAATTCACCTCAGAGGGTCTGCTGCATACTCTGCAAGCTCAAGGACCTGAGTTCAACCCCCGGTACGGGGGTGGGGGATATCTACCTACCTATCTATCTATCTACCTATCTATCTACCTATCTATCTAGAGTGGAGCCCCCATGCCCAAATTCCTAAGAGGGAGAGAGATTAGATGGACACAAACACACACACACACACACACACACTTTTGCCTTGTGATGCTCTGGGCCACCACAGAACTCTGCCAGAAAGGCCATCACCAGGTGTGGCACCTTGACCTTGATCCAGAACTCTGAGCCCCACATAAACTTCTGAGGCATTCAATTAGCAACAGCAACACCAAAACAGAACACAGCTATACAAAGCAGAAGTGAAATATGGTCAAGGAAAAGCAGGATTCATGTCTGAAGAGTAACAGGAAGATGTTAAGTGGATAAAAATATCTTTACGAAGAATAAAATTGGAAGAACTGTCTGGAAAAGCTAAGTACCTGGAGTAAGCAGCGTAGAGATAAGATCCATGGGGGCAAAGAGAACGTAAGTGATAAAGGAATGCTGCAGTCCTACGGCAGGAGGGAGGTCATATGAGAACCTGCAGACGTTTACTTTTCTTCACACTTAGCTGCTCTTAAACAGAGTGGTCGTTGTCATATTTTTACATCTTTTTTAAGGAGCCAGATGTGTGGCACATGTCTGTAGTCCCGGCTCCTGGGAGGCTGAGGTAGACTCACTTGAGGTAGTTGGAGGTCACCTTGGGCAAGTGAGACCTCAAAAAAGCCTAATAGCTATTAATGTGTATATTGGTTTGACTTAGACATTTACTTATTTTTTGGTACCAGGGCTCCAACTCAGGACCTTGCACTTGAGGCAGGCAGCTGACTTATACAGTAACTTTTAGTAATTCCAAATTTTATTTTTGAGACAGGGTCTCACTATTGTCCTGGCTGGCTTCAACTCAAAATCTTCCAATCCCAGTGGAATTACAGGTGTGTGCCACATGCATCCTTACTACTGTATTTTTAAATACTTTTTTTTGGAGGCGCTTGATTGAACTGACGGTCTCACGCATGCTAGGCAAGTACTCTGAGCTATGTTCTCATCCCTAAAAAAACTTTACTAATATATTTAAAAGTTTTCTTTACATGCTCAAAGTGTCACAGGCATAATTTTGCTAGTATTTTGATTTTATCAGATATACAGGTGAAAATTCCCCCCCATCCTATTAAACTACTGGTTTCCATTTAATTAATTTTGCCCATGAATAAGTAGTAAAGAAGTAAAATAGGCATACAAATAATTGTATCTAGGCCTTCAAAATAAAACAGTAATTCTAGTCGAAATTAACTAAACAAACTTAGGTAACTCCCTTTGACTAATAAAGGGAAATAAGCCTGTAAGATAGAGAAAGCTACATAAACTATTTTTTGCATTGGTTCACAAATTTAAATTAGCTCTAGAACAGTTACGTGGAAGCACTGAATGGTATGGGAAGAGATTTGTGCGCCTTACCTGGCCCTTCACAGACGTGTGACCTTGAGCGAATTACCTTGACCACTGTCATTTGAAGGGGAAGGCTGGGACAGGTCATTTATACTCCGTAATCTATAGACTCCCATAAACTCCTTAATGAAATTCGATGGAAACTGTATGTATGCATTTTTTCCCCAGTATTGGGTATCAAACTCAGGACCTTGCACTTGCCAGGCAGGCAAGGTGCTGCTGAGCGACACCCCTGGCCCTTGTCTATGCACTTTTGGAGGGGAGCTGGTCCAGAGTTTTCATTGGGTTCTCACAGGTAACTTGGTTACCACCCCAGTTCTAAATACTTATGTTCCCTCATGTCATAAACACTAGCAGTTCCCAAGATTCCCTGGTATACATACCCCATATAATGCCCTTCTTTGAATGTGAGCAAAATCTACGAATATAATTAAGACCTGTGATCAGACTGGAATGTAGGTTAAGGTGAAGAAATTCTGCAGGTATAATTAAGGTACCTAGTTTGGCTTTGGGTTAATCAAGAGGGAAATTATCCTGGGGATGAAGGTCCTGAGCTACTCAGCTGAGCCTTTTAAAAGGGTTTGGACCATCCCTGAGATCAGAAACTTTCCTGCTGGCCTTGGAAAAAGTAAGCTGCTGAGTTCTACAGCTACAAGGAAACGGATTCTGCCATACAGGCACGAAGGTCCCCAGATTCCAATGAAACTGCAGCTCTGGCTGACACCTTGACTGTATCCTTGCTGGGCCCCGAGCACGGATCTAGATAAGCTGTTACTGAACTCTTCACTCACAGAAACGGAGATAACAAATATGTCATGTTTGAGGTAATTTGCTTTATAGTAATTAAGCCTTAAAGCCAAAACTTAAATTTCTGTAATCCTTTTGTTTTGAGACAGACTCACTATGAAATTCAGACTGGCCTTGAACTTCATGGAGATCTTCCTGCCTGAGCCTGCTGAGGGCTGGGATTACAGGCATGCACCACCAGGCCAGGCTAATTTCTGTAACTCTTTTCTTGAAGGAACTGAGGCAATGAAAAATTGGAAGGTCTTCCATATATTACATCAATGCTACAATAAACTTGTAATTTTACAATAGTTACACACAAAACAACCTATGATATTCCCTAGCCCCAACCTCTTCCAGATGTACTTTTAATGACTGGCTGATAGTCTCATCTACAGGAAATGCTCCAGCTCTGGTCCAGAGCAACGTGGAAAGTACTAATTTCATCATACCGAATACTTAAGTTTTTGAAAATAAGAAACAGTTCTATTTATTTTTTTATTTGGTACCAGGGATTGAACTCAGGGCCCTGTGCTTGCCAGGCAGGTGTGATGCCACTGAGCTACATTCCCAGCACCAGAAACAGTATTTTAATGTTATATTTTAGATTAGAACTTCTAACACACTTTAATAATCTTATTTTCATAGTACCTGATAAGCACTCAGGGTTCAAAAAAGGCAGTTTGATATGAAAAGTCAAGAATATTTAGATTACTCGATTTTTCCCTCATGAGATGTAAAGGCCTGTGCCAAAAATGAGCCCATTTCCTAGATCACTAAATAATTTTTAAAAAGTTGTTTAAATCAGTTAACTGAGGCAAACTGTACTGAAACTAGCCTATTTTGAAACTAGAAAATCAATGCCCTGTAAGAGCGGGTAGCCCTTGTACTTAGAGATGTATCAATCCTATTTAAATGCAAGTATCCTGTAAAATAATTTGGCCTACCACAAGCTCATCGGCTTACTCTGCACCAGCTGTACAGAAAAAGAGGAATTAGGCAAAAATGGACTTTTCAGTGATTAAAGCCTTCTCTAAACCTTGCTTTGTACACAATCTGTTACTTGGAGCCATACGTTGAAATTACACTGATATTTAACATATGGCTCGTTGTCTCTCTTCCGCTGATTGGCCGGACAGTGGAGGCTAAAACCTTGGCTGGAACAGGAAGAACGCACAAGTAGAGATGGTGTCAACCAATTCGTTTCAGTAAGCTGAAATACTTATGTATCTATACTGAAATTACAGACCTTATGAAATTGTTATGTTGGTTCTAGGTAAAAGCTTAAGAAAAAATAAGTTAACAGAAGCCATTGAGTTATCCTCTAACTTAAAAGTAACTTAAAAAAATCCACACATCACACACACACCCCATGTAAAACATTGCTTTAAGTTTTAATGTTTATTTCCCCAAGACAGCCTAGCCTGCACTCTACTTGGATAAATTTACAAGCTAGTTTTCTGCTGCTTCTAGTTTTAAACTTTAACCATGTTTTTGATGACAAGGAATGCTGCAAAAATACTCTAGTTCAACAAAGAGTTATGATCACAAAATAATTTTTATCCATTCTACAGTGTTTCAGAATTACCAGTTGATTTTTAAACACAAAGTAGATATAGATGCTAATGGTGGCTAATCCGGTATGTTTCTTATAGCAAACTGTTGTTCATGCAACACTTGTGCTCAAAGGGGAAGGCACAGGATTTCCTACAATGAGCCACCTTATAAAGAGTTTTTATTTTTACAAATTAATTTATGTCACATTTAATTTAGTGTGCATAACCTCAAAACTGAGGCATTATTCCAATTTATAAAAAACACTTGCATAACTTTTATGCAAGTTTTAAAAATACAAAGTTTTCTCCCTAAAGTGGCTCAAAATAGATTGTTCATGGCTGCCTACATCTAAGATAAAAAGATTCTAAAACAACTGAACAGATTAGGCATATTATTAAAGTTGTTCAAACCATTACTTGATTTGTACATGTACTCAAACCTCTTCACCGGTCTTTATTCAGCAGTACATATGCACCAAATTCCATTTTAGAAGTTTCCATATCATTTTCATAGAAAACAAAGTTTGAAAACAAGTAACATTTAAACACAGCACGGTATTCTATCACAACTGAAACTTTTTCTTCTTCGTTACAGGATTCAACAAAATCTAAAAATGAACTATGCTGTAGATTTATCTCATGCAAAGATCTTTATGTTAACTCTGAAAATGAAAAGGATGGCCTTTTAAGCACATTTTATTGTTTTATACTATTATGGCAACTTGTGTACTGCAACACAGTCTATTTTGAGGGAAATTTATGATTTTTTTCATGCAAAAATCTACACAAATTAGTTTTGATGATATGGAAAGCTTTTCATAGCATCAAACATTCATCTGGTGCAAATGCACAGGGAAACCTTCCTGAAGTTTTCTGACTTGAGAAACAACTAAAAAAGCCATACTAGGTAAAGTAAATAAAAACTGAAGAAAAGAAAAGGGAGTGGGGTAGGGAAGGAGAGGGAAAATAGAAAACACAGGCTGCAGAGTAAACCAATGTCTGCTGCTAAACCGGTCTTTTTTTTTTTTTTCATGTCCAGTGTACATTAACACCTGTGATCTCATTTTGATGATTTACTAGGTTTGTTATCAGCCCCTGCAGGCGAATCAAGCTTGCATGCGTTCACATACAGCACCACAAACACTCTCTCGTACACAGTCACTCCAGGACTAGGGAGTCTGCTTCATGAGTGAAGAGCCCTAGATTTGAAAGATGAACCTGGCTCTCTCACTGAGCCAGACATTCATTCAACATCGTCCATTCACACACTGCTTCATAGCAAGGCCTGGGCTCATTTCCTTGACTTATATGGGCATTCTGTTTTCTTTTATGCTTACAAGGCTTAAAGATGACAGTACTTCACTTTCCCCTCAATTGATATAGAGTAAGTCAATGTTCCTTCTCAGGCACTGGAGATCTGTGACCTGTAGCCCTTTTTACTTTGAACAACCTAAATAAGCATCCATGTAAAGTTTTCATTACATTTGCCACTCATTCTCACTCGCACCCACTCGCCATCTTGACCTCATTCGGGCATTTTCGGTGATTCCAAATGAAATCTTCACATTTTCTTTCCCGATTTAATGCAGCAGCAGATCCCATGAGCCAAGCTGGATGGATCAAACCTTTTTATATATATGTGTGTATATATATATATATATACACACACACATATACACACACACACACATATATATATATATGTCTCAGTGCTGCATTGTACCTAACTTCCACAACATCTTTCTAAAACTGGAACCCTTCTGTTGGTACATTGGCAGATGAATTGAAACCAAATGTTCCACCTTGAATTGCCTCTGGAACAATGCTAGGATCTTCATCAATCTAGGGAAAAAGAGAAGAATGTGAGGATTAACTTTAATGTGTACATAAATAGCATTATAGTAATCTCATTACCCTTTAAGAAAGCTCTAGATGATGTCAACAATGCACCATAATCCTTTAGAAAGCTGAAATATTTTAAGTCTTTTTCTTAGAGACAACTAAAGAGAATTAAGAGAATAGACAAGATAAAGGATTTCAAAGAATGAAGTAGCAGTAATAAAGTGCAGATGATCCCATATCCCACAACAGTTTTCCTGATAACTAGAAAAGTAAGTGCAATCTTAAGCTAATCTTTTTTCTGTTTGTTCTGGGGACTGAATCTGGGGCCTTGTACATACTAGGCAAATATTCTACCACTAAGCTATGCCATTATCCTCTGGTTAATCTTTTAACAGTAAGTAGAAACAAATGGTGTAAGGACTTAAAATAGTAAAATTATAGCTCTACTAATTTATATCTCATTTTCCCCAAAACTTCACAAAATCACAAATCTACAGCACATTATGTTTTAAGGAGCAGGAGATTTTAGATTTTTCCAAAAAGATAATATTAAAAGTAATTCTTTAATTTCAATGACATATACTGTAACAATCTAAAGATATTTTGTATATTTTACCTCATAATATACAGTGCCTTATCTTTTTTATTACTTTCATTTATATAGTCTTTATATTTGTTTTGATCACCAAATAAAAATATTATGGTAACATGCAAATGTGGACTAATTACTGTCATAAAGGATTTACAGGATATGCTGTATCACTGTTTTTTAAATTTATAAATGATATGCTAGTATCAATCTAAAAACATGAGAACTATAAAGAACTCAAGTAAAAATAAGCCTGACTCATCCAGCTAAAAAAAAAAATTCCTTAACATTTGTTATTAAAGCTAAAACATTCTTAAAGGATTTTAACATACTGAAATATTTATATTACCAAAGTAAGTGACATTGGTTTGGAAAGTGACTGTTCGTAGCAGAGACGACACATATCTAATTTGATTTTCCACAAAAAATACATGTAGGTATATAAACTAGCAAAAGAATTTATCCAAACTTATACATAAAACTAAGAAAACTACAAAAATATTAAATACATCATCTGAAGAGAAGAACTGATCAATGATCTCATAGGCCAATTTGTAGATGTCTTCATTTTCATGATTTTGAAGTTGTTCAATCTTCTCCAGTCCTGAAAGAAATTTTATGGAGTGAAATAATGGTAATGTTTAAAAAGTGCAGTGACAAATTATAATAATCTTGGAACAGATAATCTAATTTCTGCCTTGCACAACTGTTGGATTAGAATTTTGGGGAATCTATTCTATAGGTAAATCATAAATATACAAAGATTTAATACCAAAGTGTATTTGTCCAAAAAAGATTTTCTGAGTATCTACAACATATAAATGTGTCATGGGACAAGTATCTATTAAGCATAATCATATGCAACCAATATTTATAAAGATATGTGAAATTGTTTTGTTAAAAAAACAAAACTTCCCTTAAGTTCTAGCATTTCCAAATTTTTCTGGTGAATAAGTATGAAACAGAAACTGAAGATACTGGCAATTAATAAATATGATGCCCAAGATATGTGCTAAGTGTATTAAAAAAATGATCAAGATCAACCACAGTATTTCAGGAGAAAAGGCAATTTTTCCTGTGAACACTGAGGAGTTTAATAAATTGTACACAGAAGCACTAAAAAGACCCTACATACTTAATATACAACCTGAGTCTTGTTCTACTTTATAGGAATAATTTTTAGAACTCTGAAATAAAGCGTTTCTTCATGAGATATCTTCTATCGATGAGGAATGCAAGCAAGGGACTCATTTCTTATTCTAAATACTCCCCTTACGATGATTCTTCATTAAAAAAATTTATGACACAGAAGGACTTATAATCTGTAGCTTTATTTTTTTTCAGACCATCACAAGCACAAAATCCAAATGTGTATATAATTCCACAAGTTTATAACACAAATTTCTAAAACTGTATTCAAAACTCAATTATTTGCTAACTTCATTTAAACTGACCTATGGTTCTTACTTGTTGACAACCAGCAATAACTTGAAATCTGAGAAAGCCTTTTTCCTTTTCCTTCAATCAAATCTCAAAAACTTCTCTTTGTCTCTAATATTACTACCTTCATTTATTGTGGGCAGACCATTATATACTGGGAGACAGTGGGAGACTGTTGGTCTCCCTGCCTTTTGTTCCAAAGACCCAATTCCCCAGATACCTGTGGACCTATCTCAACATATAACTACCCTAGATGAAATCCTCCCATGGCTTGTCATACTCTTATGGCAGAATCCACTAAGGAGTTTACCGCGTGTGTATGTGTGTGTGTTTATTTATATAAAATAAATTTTCCCCCTTGGTCTTACTTTTAGTGAGGTAGGCAGCGATTAAAGACTTGTATTTTTATGTTAATATACAAAAATATTTTAGTAATCAAAATAAATAAAATAGTAAAAAAATCTAGCAATAAAAAATAACTAGATCTGTTATTTTGCTAATATATACTATAGTCCTTAATTAATTCCCTAATGCTATTCCCCATCTCTTGTTCCTAACTTGACAGTGATACATCACTTTTTGTTGTTCCATTTCTTACTTCAGTAACTTTATGAATACCTATTCCTTGTTAGATTGATTTTCAGGTCTCCTGACTCCCCTACTTATTAGTTGATTCAAGTTCTACTCTTTTAGCTACCTCTCTCTTCATTTGCTTTGTGAATTCTGTCAGAAATACCTTTACTTTTATACTTATATTGGTGGATAACATTTATATTCTCTTAAATAGCCACATTTGGGACTTCCATATTTTGCCTATATATTAACATTAAGAGTTGAAAATTATTATGTGTTATACTCTGGTTGGCTCTGGTAGACAGACTTGTTAACTACTACCGTACAGAATGAAGTATGTGCTGTGCTACAAAGCTTGTAAGACTTCAGGGGGTCTGGTTATTGGCTGCTTCTCCAGCTTCATCTCTTAGCAGTTTCTACCCCATACTTTATGATTCAGCAACACTGAACTACTTTTATAATTTGCTGAATGCTATATCTCACCTCAGACTTTGCTCATGGTGTTCTCTCTGCCTGGAACACCTTTCATCCCTTTTTACTTTAATAATCCTTATTCATCTCAAAATCCAGCTCAGATGTCATTTTCTGCTTCTTCCAGGATGGATTAGGTATCTCATTTTGTTGTACATTTCTATTAGGGCAATCAGCACATTAAATCAGTTCATATTTAATTTCAAGACTAAACTACATGCCTTGAGGGAAAGGACTGTTTTCTTTACCACTGTCTCCTAGTGCCTCACCACAGTACCTGTTCCATATATGGCAGCAATCCAGTTACCTAAGCACATGCAAGTGACTGGGCAAAACTATATTTAGAATATATTATTCTATTACTTGATTGTCAAAGACAGAAAAATACAGAACTGCTGTAGTTGTCAGAAAATAAATGTAGTTACTAAAAAAGAATATTAAAATGTTGCATAATAGCTAGTGACTTACCTCCACATTCTTCTATAAGATTGGCTATGGTTTCTGCCTCATCTTCAGCCATTTTTAATATATTACTTAGTCCATCTAGTACTACTTGCACAACTTGTGCATCTTTTACAGTCAACAAGTTGCAAAAAGGTGGGATAACATTTTGCTGGATAAGGTAGGCCACCTGGAGAATAAAAATATGAAATAATAAAATGTGGGTCACCTTTCTGCAACATAATATTTCAATAGAGTAATTCTGACTTTGAAATTTTGTATATGAAAACACGATCTCCTTTCTTCCACAACAGCAGACTACATTATTAATGGAACTTCTCAATTCATTCATTCTGGTACCAGAAATCAAACTCAGGATCTTGTACTTGTGAGGCAGGTGCGGCACCACTGAGCTAAATCCCCAGCCCCAGAGCTTCCTTTTTAAAAAAATTATAGTAAGTGTATTTTTCTTGAATTTAGGGAAAAACTAAAGTGAAAAATGAAGGAATCACTCAACTTCAACATTTTTTCATCACAAGGAATACTTCCTTTCCCCTTAAGAGTAACAAATGATGAGATTAGTTAAGAGGCAGAAGGCTGTTTTTAAGAAACTGATAGTTTGGGCTGGGGATTTAGCTCAGTGGTTCCATGCCTGCCTGGCAAGTGCAAGGTCCTGAGTTCAATCCCCAGTACCTAAGTAAATGAATGTACAAACCTGAGAGTTCAATGTGACAGTGTCTACTGAGTATTTGCTGTAACTTTCAGCACACTAAGATGCTTGGCCACCTCTTACTTCACTATTCTTTCGGTTTAATACTGTTGCATTTTCTAATCATTTAAATATTTTGTTAATTATTTCCAGGGATTCACTTCAATTATGCTTTGTATTCATATTTAAATCAAGTTACTGCTTACCATTAGTCCACAGCTTTTTTGTGACAAGTTTTGAACTGACTGACACAAAGCTCCAAATCCACCTGCTCTGTGAAAAGGTCTAAGCCATTTGGCACAATATTTAAGTTTTGCCCCTTGTATGGCCCCAAGAGCGAATGCCTCTTTAAATTTTATACCCTAAGCATCTCAGGTTCACTCTATGTCCTATTTATTCCCAGCTGTCTGGTTGAGTTTTTTCTGTGGGGGAGGGTACTGGGGATGAAACTCAGGACCTTGAGATTGTGAGGCACGGCCAGTGCCACTCAGCTAAATCCTGGCTCTCTCACTTCTTTTGCTGCTAGTGAATTTTTTGCTGTGCTGATTTTTTAATTTTAATTTTTTGATAGCACTGGAGGGTTGACCCAAGGGGCATATTACCACTGAGCTACACCTTAACACTTTCCAATTTTTTATTTTGAGATAGATTCTTGAGCAGAGTTGCCCAGGTGAACTTAAACAACAAAAACTCTGACCATAGGCTTTATGATCTTGCCACAGATTAGAGAATTCTTGCAGGGGGTCTTGATGGTTTTACTCAGTAGTAAGAGTATTTAGATGGCATACATGAGATCTTAGGTTCAATCCTTACCATTAAATGAAGGTAGAAAAAAGGATACCTATCTTCTATAAAATACAACTACAGAAAATCAAGGTGATAGTTCTATGTGAAAAACAACTCCCATCTTAAGGAAAAAAAAAAATCATAGAAAGTTATCCTGCTGTTATTTTAAACTACAATTTAATCTATATCTAAACATTATAATTATCAGTACTGTATTTTACCAGTTTTGAGAAGTAAAAGCTAAACTTACCTGATCTTTCCTTCCACTAATTGTTAAGTTACTTATGGCCCAAGCAGCTTCTTTCTGAGTTCCAAAATCCCCCTGCAAAAAAACAAAGCAAAGGCTTATAATTGTAATACAAGATAAACTGGAAAAAAATGTATTGAGATGATTTTACAACACTTTACTTTCCATTTTCCTTCTAGCTTTTACACACACACACACACACACACACACACACACACACACACACGCATACATTTAGCTATGGTAAATCTTGATCTACACACACTGTACACCAAACACATATAAACTCTTTCTTTGTGAAGTCTCTTGAAAATAGACTTGATATTACTGATAAATATTATCAGGTTAAGTGAAATTGACAATAAAAAAATAAAATTAGTAGAACAAATTTGGAAAAAAATCCATAATTTCATTACAAAGTACACATTAAAATATTTTAAAGTAAATATTTAAATACATTTATAAATAAAAGACATTTAAAAATATTTAATTTATTTATTTGTCAATACTTTGGGGCTTTTTGTTGTTTCTATCATTTTTGGAGATAGGGTCTCACTAATTTGCAAAGGCCAGCCTTGAACATAGAATCTTCCTGCTGAAGCTGCCTGAGGATGATCTGGATCACACTATGTGTGCCACTGAATCTAGCTGAAAATAATTTTAGAAGGTGTGTGTGTGTGTCTGTGTGTATAATATACATGTATGATTTTAGTAACTTCCCTTTGAGAATTTAGAAAAGAATTTGCTTTTAAAGTAATATTACATCTTTCTTTACATGGTCATAGAAGCACCACAACAGTAAAAAATAAAGGCAACTAAAATTCTCAGTAATAAGAGGCATAACTAAAAACTAATAAGTAAAATAATAAGCAGCTATTAATAACTGAAAAGATTAGCAATCTGGAAAAATGTTATATTAAGAAAAAAATACAAGGCCAGGGATTTAGCTCAGTGGTTTTGCCACCTGCCTTGCAAGCACAGTCCTGAGTTTGATCCCTGGTACCAAAAACAAAGCAAAACAAAACAACCCCAAAACAGCAACAACAAAAAAACCCCATACGTATAAATAAGAGCAATACAAATTAAAGCAGTAGTGAGATACCATTTCATATTTATCAGATTGAGAAAATCCAAATACATGTCAGTAAGGCAGGCAGAAGTGCAGAGTAAAATCCTTCAGAGGGGAACTAGTATGACACAGTAAAATTTACACGTTAATTTGTAGATCCAAGAATCCTAAATATAACCTGGAAAAAAACCCTAAGCTATTCTTTAAAGCAGCACTATTTTTAACAGCAAGAGCAAAACACTAGAATGTTTCAAATGTCACCAGTAATAGATTGACTGATTATAGCACATCCATTCAATGCAGTAATATAACTAGGATGAAAGAGATAAAAACAGAAATGGAATAATGTTCTCTAGTCATTGCTATGGGAGTGATCTCCAGGATATGCTAAAAAAAAAAAAAAATGTGGTAAAACAGAGTATGCTGTTTTCTGTCTAAGAAAGAGTGGAAACAAGCATTTACATATAGATTTGCTTTTATTTTCAAAACAAAACAAAAAAACAATGGAAGGCTAAACCAAAAACTAATAATGATTCTGTAACTAGAAAGACAACAGGAAGGGGCAAAAGTTGAAATCAAATTTTTGCATGTGTCTTGCAACAAGGTACACAAGGTTAACAAAAATTAAAATAAACCAGTTATCCCCTCAAAGAAACAAAAAGAAATAACTTGAGTGTGCAGTTGATGACAACAGAGAATCAGTTTAAGAAAAGAAAAAAAAAAAAAGCTCTCAAAGAAACCTTAAAAAGTTATTTTTGTTAGTCACATTGTTAGTAGCAATGTGGTCTTATTTTGATAAAATAATTTAGATATATAAAATGATATACAGTATTTAGATTTGCATCTTTTAGGCTGAAAATGAGCAGGTTTTATTTTGTCCTTTAGGATACTTATCATGATATACTTAAAAATATGTAAGATAATCCTGTTATTATAAGCATCCTATATTTTTAATGGCTTTTTTTCACTAACAGTTCACTTATGAAACCTTATGTTCATGAACTCATTATTTATCTTTCATGTTCTACAGAAATACTTAGCATTTATTTACTCAAACTTAGAAATAATGACAACTTTTAACGATTTCCTTCTCACCTGAACTATGATCCTTTAATACTATACTCTTTAAAAAAGAATCAAACCGTAGAGAAATAGTTAATTACTGAACTAGGTCTAAAAATACTGTATACAAGGTAAGCCTGGTAATCATGTCATACTAAAAAGATAGGAAGCTCTAAAAAATTATCATGTAACATAAAAAAGACACAGGTACAAACTTTAAGAAATTCCCACTGATCAGGGACAATCTGTATGTCAAAAGGGGAGTGAAATGAGACATGAAAAACATGTATTAAAAACTCAATTTCCTAACGACACTAAAAAAATTCATTCTGGTCTCCTTTTGAGGTTGTTAGGAAACCACATCACAGAGACTGAAAAAATAACTGATAAAAAAAAAGAAACCTTTGTCTTGCCCCACTTCCTTTTCTTCCTCTTACTTCTCTTTTTGCAGTACTGGGGATTGAACCCAGGGCCTTCACACTTAACTATATTTTAAGCCTTTTTGTTAATATTTTACTTTGAAGTAGGGTCTTGCTAAGTCCATAAGTTTCCCAGGATGGGCTTGAACTTGCAATCCTCCTACCTTAGCCTCCTATAGTGCCTGTCTTGCCATTTTTATGCTAACTATATTTTAGAGTAAGCAACAGCTCATAAAAAAAAGCTCTTTATTAAAGTATCATGAACAATATACAAAGAATGATGCAATTAGAAAGTCCTAGTAAAATAAGGGATCCAGGCAAGGACTATCAATAATTACCTAAAAACAGGGCTAGGGATGTAGCTCAGTGGTTTTGCTGACTGCCTTGCAAGCACAAAGTCCCGAGTTCAACCCCCAGTACCAAAAAACAAAAACAAAACACTAAGAATGATGGTTAGGACTTTCCAATCATCTGGTATAGTAAGTTGAAAATATCTGAGATCACTCAATCTTAATGGATATAGGACATTACACTTGATGTGACTCATCAAGAAATATGGAGCAGTAAACAAAATATTCTTGCTTAAAATAGTAAATTTCATCTATTAATTTACAGGAAATACAGAAAAATAGAAGACACAGAAATATTTCTTCAATTACAGTCATTCAGAAGAAATTCTCATGTGATTGACTGTAAATTATCTCTCAAAATGTTAATATGTGCACGAGATATATAGTATACAATTAATGCATACTTAACTTGCTACTTGTTAGGTAATTTATTTGCCTTATCAGTTTCTTCATCAGTCAAATGGAGATAATCCTTAATCGTACAAGTTTAAATTATGTGAGGCAATTTTGTAAAGTACTTTAAAGTTACATTCACATAATTTGTCACATTCCTTCCCCTTACTCAGATACATACAAGATAATTTTCTTACCTTATCCAAAAGGTGTATTATCATTGGTACAAGATTGGCATCAATTACAGCCTGAACCTGCTGCTGATTTCCTGCAGTGATGTTAGATAGGAACCAAACTGCTTCCTGTAGAATAAGATCCTTTCAATATTTCTCATTAAAAAGTAAATCTGTATTTAAGCTAAGAAAAAAAGTATTCACTACAGTGTCCAAATAATTTTTATTACTAACCAAGTTCCATAATAAAAATCTTAATCCTTATGCCCCCTTTTCCATTATTTCTTGGGACAAATTACTAATGTTCCTAATTCAAATCATATGAATTAATGCTGAAAGAATGTTTAAAGGGGAAGGTTCCAAACTCAAAAGCACCTTGGCTGAAATAATACTGAGGAATTGATGAGTTGTGATATAAATGAGATACAGTGCCCTTCTCTCTCATATATAGTAAAGGGCTTTATTCTCTATATCCTACCCCAATTAAGAATTATAGCCAAAGTAGTACTCAATTATCAAGACAATGGAGACATCAAAAAAGAAAGTGAGTTGTTTTAGTATAATTGTAATTTGTGTTTTGAGATGAGATCTTGCTATGTTGCTCACAATGACCCTGAACTTGTAATTCTCCTTCCTTTTCCTTTGAGTACTTGCAACCTTCACCATCACTGCGCCGTGCTAGCATGCGTACTATTTAGCTGCACCATTTCTCTCAAGAGCTAAAATGTAACCAGTGCTTGACTGCTTTCTTGGTCTGTCCTAATGATCTTTTAATGCTATCCTTTACACCACAACAGAGCTGAACTTTTTCCAAGACGATGGCAGTCCCAAGTGTTTCTCAAGTTTCAAAGTTAATAAATGCGCTACTGAAGCCACAGTTAGCAAGAAACAAGACAGTATCTCCCAAACATGCTATGCAGGATATTATTAGAATTTACCAATTTACTAAAAGGCAACATTTTTTCTATTTCTAAAACTGGTAAAAGAAGTTTTACTCTAAAAAAAATCAGTATTGGCTAGGGTACACTAGGTAGGCTCTTTTGGATCAGATCACAGGACCACGTTTAATGAACCTGTTAGAGATTTTGGGGTGCTAGGCTAGTTAGGTGAGCTGTTCTTGGGTTATAATCACTGGCAATGTTGTAATCAACAACCCATGTTATTTCTACAACAGCCTCAGATGCACTCCAATATCAGCATCACCATTCAGTGCCCCCTTTCCTAACCACCTCAAGCACACACACATGCACACACACTCTATTAACTAACTATAAAATATTAACTAAAAGAATTACTTAACAGACTATTAAAATTTTCAGTCATGCAACATTCGACACCCACATATCTCTATTTCATCATTTCCAAGAGAGCCAAAAATGTATTGCACAGATCAGAGTGTAACACAGCAATGTATCACATGTTTAGCATGCATGAGGTTCTGGGTTAGATCCCCAGCAATGCCAAATTAATAAAAATAAAGTACTTTGTACTTGATTTGTTTTATATATGGAAAAGTCATATACCAATCTTTGTTATAAAGAGCAAACTATTTTATTTTTTCAATCTCAATCTCTCAGACATTTTTTGGGACCTTAATTTTACAAATACTTACTTTATTAATTTTCTCTTTGGGATGTGTCAAGAGTGCTGGAAAGTGTGAAAGAGCATCACAGTTCAAAACTACTTGTGTTTGCTCATCAGTTCCTGTAACAATGTTACCCACAGCTCGAAGTGCAGCAGTCTGAAACGTAAAACAATTTAATGAGCTGTTGTTTACTGTGAAGTACTCATTATTAAAACAGTTATATTGGGACATTCTAACATACCTATCCTTTCTGAACACTTACTTTGTGTCAGACACTGATTTAAGAACAGAGACATAAGATACAAATTGTAGATTTAAATAGCTTTTATTATTTATGGTAGCATGGATTGAACCCAGGGTCTTGTATACACTAGGTAAGGGCTACATGCTCAATTCTTTATTCTGAAAGAGAGTCCTGCTAAACTGTTTGGGCTGGCCTTGAACTTGTGATCCTCTTGCCCTAGCTTCCAGAGTAAATGTGGTTAGAGACACCACAGGAATTAAACTTGACATAGTTAAATTACTGTAAGAGAAGACAAATGACAAAGGATAAAGACAGATAGCAATTAGTGCCCCCTTCAAAAAATAAGATAGATTAATTTTAAAAAATTAAAAATAGAAATTTTAAGGTTTCAGTATCATAAAATTTGACTTATTTTTCTAGGTTGCACTAAGTAATTTTCTAAGTTAAAGCTTTTCTTCTAATTTTTCACTCTACAAGACAAATAACCCAGGCGTTTTCCAAAAACACACCTTTTTACAGTACAATTCTATTTTTGGTGAAATAAAAGTTGCACAACCATTATCAATATTTAATTCCAAAACATTTTCATCATCTCCAAAATACACACATCTATTAGCTGTTACCCTCACTGTCCTCACCCCAGGTCTTTGACAACCACTATGCCTATGTCTACGGATTTGTGTATCCTGGGCATTCTACAGAACAGAAACAAATTCATGTTATGCATCAGTACAGTACTTCATTTCTCTTCATGGTTAAATAGCATTCTACTCTGTGGCTGTGTCATTTTATTTAATCATTCATTAGGTAATCCACATATGAACTGTTTCTACTTTTTGGATATTAGGAATAAGGCTTGTATGAATATTTATGTACAACTTTTTGTGTTGCCATGTGTTTTTGGTTTTCTTGCATATACACATAGAGGTGGAATTGCTTGTTGGCTCTTATTATAATCTAGAGAATGTTAAATTCACTGGGCACTACCTAAAGAAAAATTCTAAGCTATTTTCTCAAGCCCTAATTCCAAGTCCTGTATTAAACCTGAAGATACACTATGAAAGCAAAACAAAAAACCATCCCAAACCCTATACTGAGATTTAAGTAACAAATCTGAGAAATGCAAACTCAATATAAACATATAGCAAGAATGCTTAAGTCACAAATACCTCTAAATAACAAACTGTTCTATTAATTAACTTTTTAAGTTTAGTTAAGTGCTCACTCTGTCTTTAAAGTGTTTTCAATTCCTTATCACCCAGGAACTTTTTGTTTGTTCAGTGGTACTAGGAATTGAACCTAGGGCCTTCACATTGAGCTACATCCTCAACCTTTAAAAAAAAAATTTTTTTGTGTTTTGTTTTTGAGACAGGGTCTCATGAAGTTTCCCAGACTGGGAACCAACTTGTGACCCTCCTGTTCAACCTCCTAGAGTGCTGGGATTACAGATATATACTACCATGACAGCCCTGAAGAGCTTTTTAAACTCTATTTCTAGGAAATAGCATGCTTTTACTAAAATATAGAACTTTTAGGGGTTGAGCAAGGAAAATTTTATTACATATTTTCTTTAAGTTCCACAACTGATTCTGATATCCAAACAGCATTGTGACGTAGGTTAACAGTTTTCCTTATGCTATTATTTTACTTTATAAACTCTGAGCCATTATCAATGAAAATATACTACCTTATGAAAGTAGTGAGAGCTGGCTGGAATTTTCACTTCTTTCTAGCTTTTACTGGATGAAAGTCCTTAAAATATTATTCTAATAAATATTACTAATAAATACTATGTGGAATATTTTATATAGGATTTAAAAATAAAAGAATACAATTAGAAAAAATTAAATAATTGAGAGGTGTGGGGGAGTCAGAGACGAAAAAGCCAGCACTCATTTCAGATGTCACCCATGTTGCTGTATAGAGTACATCAGGAATCAATACTCTGCATGGAGCAACCCCCCCTCACTTTCTTGGCAGGGGAAAAAAGATTTCTTTGGTTTTTGTTTTTTTGGAACCAGGGATTGAACTTAGGACCTTGCACTTGAGGTAGGTGGTAAGCACCACAGAGCTTAAAACCCTGGCCCGAAAGATTCTTATTGAACTGCAGCGCTCTACTTTTTTTTTTTTTTAGAACAGGGATTTTCATCTCAGATGTTATAATATTAAGAATATATTTTCAATTATTGAAATTGTCCCTTTTTGAAAACCATGCTAAAAGCAACTAGTGGTAAGAAAAACTTATTAAGAACAAACTTACCTGCACTTTAACTTCCTGGTGGCTGAGTAGAGGAACCAAATGAGGAACTATTCCAGAGTCTATTACCATCTGTATCTGTTCGTTGCCAGCATCAGTAAGGTAAGACAGGGCCCAGACTGTATCTACCAATATCTGGTAAGAAAAATGAAAATTCAAATAATGCTTCAATATTTCCTCAATTTAAATTGTCTTTTAAAAATTTTATTAGTATAGGTTTGTAGTACATAATGATTACATTCATTGTGGGGAGTTGGTACACATACATAACCCATATTAATCCTTTTCATGTGCCCTCTTATTTCAATAATTCTTTTTGTTTTGGTACCAGAATTCAAACTCAGGACCTTGCACTTGCGAGGCAGGCACCAGAGCCACCGAACTAAATCCCCAGCCCAATAATTCTTAAACATACAACCACTCTAAGATTGTTTTGCTATCTTCTTTCTTCATTTTTTTCTCTTACCTCAATTCACTGAACTTTTGATTAATTATGGTTCTAGTCCCAGACTGGTATTCAATCTTTAGTTATTAAGCTACACACACTACATAGCATATGAAACAGGACAGAAAAAAAATCTTTTCTCTCAAATGCTCAGGTTGAGGTATAATAGGTCTATGACTTCATGACTAATGTATATGGTTGGAAAGACTATTATGTATATAATACATACAGTGGTTTAAATTATCTGGACTATATTCAAGGAAATCCCTATCAACAGTACCATTCAAGTATACCTAAGGACTAAACCAGTATCAGTATTACGGTAGTTTCATCTTCTCCAACCAGTTTGCCTTGCCTTATAAAATTGGAGGCAAGCTGAGTGTGGTGGCACACAATCAATCTCAGCACCCTGGGAGGCTGAGGCAGGAGGATCCCCTAAGTTTGAGCCCAGCCTGGGCAACTTAGTGAGAACCCTGTATCAAAAAAAAAAGAAAGAGAAAAGAACCCTCTGTAACTTAAACCAAAAATAGCCTACAATCTTTTAATGATTATATTTTCAAGTACAGCAAGTCATCTTTGGATTTAAATCCTAGTTACAAGTTATGGCCAAAAGATAGTATGAAAATTATTTTACTGCTATATTTAAATAATATAATTACTGACAAAACCCACAGAATAACTGTGCCTGGAACTTTACTTCCAAAGCCTTTTTGGAACACACACTATATGAAGGCAAAATAGTACTTTATTACTGTTCTTTCAGAAATTCAACAAAGCTCTAAAGGTATTTTTAATGTAAAAAGATGTCAAAAGAAAGACTTCACACAAAGTAGATATATTACATAAAACAACTGAATTTCAAACTTCTAATAGAACTAGTTCTTTTTCTGTAGTATTCAAGTATGCTAAAATTTGTTGGCACAGGCATAAAGCATCAAGTCACGTATGGTTTTTATTGCTATTTTCGTGGTGCTAAGGATGGAACCCAGGGTCTCACACATGCTAGGCAAGTGTTCACCACTGAGCCTTAACTCCCAATCCCTCGAGTTACTTATGACAATCATAAAAACTGAATGTATTTTTTAAAAGGCCCATTGCTAAGTAAGTCATTAATGAGCCTAGATCCAAATTATACCTGAAAACAAACTAGATCTCTCTTATACCTTGTGTATCAGATAAAATTTATATTCTATGGCAAGTTTTCTAAGTACAGTGTAATATCAGCATTTCACTTACGTTATGTCAATAGTATTTTGATTTTTAAGAATTTTTTTGATGACCTGATTTAAGAATTTGCTACTACTGCTTATCTAAGATTTTACTTTTAAACATCATTTAATAAACAATATTATTTACTAAAGATGTTACTGAAAAGAATAATGCAATCTGAGAAATTCTTCAAGCTACTTCAAAGGTAAGAAAATAAGAGTAATAATCTCTTCTATATAGGGACAGACAGAACACACTTCTGAGGAGTCAACCAAGATATGTGATTTGCCAGTAGAGATATAAGCTTTGAGATTAATCTCTCCCGAAAATCTTTCAAATGCAAAATGTTAAAATTTATAGTTTAATCACATAGTTCCACTATCAGGAGTCCAAACCAAAAATTGCTCATGCACACTTAAGATACTAGGTTATTTGGAACTACATACTCATTAAGGGATTCCATCAGAGAACTAGGGGCCTAGAAACTAAAGAAATACAACAGCTCAAACACTGGGGACCACAGCAATTTTTTTAAGACAAGGTCTTGCTATGTTGCCAGGCTTGTCTCAAACTGTTGGACTCAAGAGATCCTCAAAGCTCAGTCTTCTTAGTGACTGAAACTACAGCATACAAGCTGCTCACAGCTGTTAAACTATTTTTAAAGAACCATACAAGTTTCTGGCTGGTAGGGCCAGGGATTTAGCTCAGTGGCTCAATGCTGGCCTCAGAAGTGCAAGGTCCTGAGTTCTTTCTATCCCGGGACCAAAAAAATTTAAAGTTTCTGACTGGTAGCGTTCATGCCAGACAAAGGCTCTACTACTGACATATAGCCCTAGCCCATATTGTCAGTTTAAAAAAAACAAAACAAAACATATTAAAGGCTAGTCTGGCTTTTATAAGCAATCAGGGAAGTTTTCTACTTCATTCACTCCTTGGGTTACGTTTTCCTTTGTCATCTGCATTAATAAGAATAAGCAAGATATATTTGTGATGTTAAAATCTGGTCAGTATTGATTTTTCCCCCCATGTTGTTTGTATAATCAAGAGCTGTCTTTATATTAAGTAAAGCCGAAAAGTCCTTATAATTTGGAGAAATAAAAAAATGAAATTAAAGGGCAACTGATTTCACTCCTTGGGTTACGTTTTCCTTTGTCATCTGCATTAATAAGAATAAGCAAGATATATTTGTGATGTTAAAATCTGGTCAGTATTGATTTTTCCCCCCATGTTGTTTGTATAATCAAGAGCTGTCTTTATATTAAGTAAAGCCGAAAAGTCCTTATAATTTGGAGAAATAAAAAAATGAAATTAAAGGGCAACTGATTTTCATGGTTATGCATATGAATACAATTTCATATATAATATATAGTCAAATATTTCATTATCTCACACAAAAACATCACTATGTGTATATGCTCTCAATAGCAAAGCTGCCAAAATAAGCTGCCACAAAAAAAAACCTCAACAATTAAAAACAGACCTTAGTGAGAGAAATTAATTGGCAACTTTGTACAGGCTTTACTAAAATTATATTTATATATTTGTATGTCATAGGAGGAGCCCTATACATGAACATACACACACACACACACACACATATATGTATATATACATATATATATATAAATAGAAGAGACATATTTACTCACATTTACGTCTGTGTGATGAATTAAAACACAAAGGGCTGGAAGAATCTGAAAAGAAAAACACACAGATTTAAAACACACATAAAGGGGGCCAAGGATGTAGCTCAGCAGTACTGTGTGAGCGTGCCTGGCAAGTGCAAGGTCCTGATTTTGAACCCTGTTACTGGAAAACACACACACACACACACACATACAATTATCTATTCTCAAAAATGCATTTACCTCCTGAATGGTTTCCATTGGTGGTGGTGGGTCTTTGTGGCGACATAAATTGACCATAACCCAAGTAACATTTCTTAAGAATGTTATAGGAATAGATGGACTTATAAATGAAAGTAAAGGCTTCACAACTCCAAGACTTATGACATAATCTCTACACTGGGGTCCATCACCTGTAAAACGAATCAGTTCAATAAACCATATCAACGGTAAGCATTTTCAGAAAACACAAAGCACTGGGTACACTATGCTGTTTCTGGTATTTGATTCAGACTATATATTTAGTTTTATATTAAAGCTTTAGGAATGTTAACAATTAAGTTCACATTCTAGGTCTTTGAGCTAAGAGAAGTACATTTGGTGCTAAGGTATTTTTCTGCATACAATTTATATCTTCAGTTTTATAAACTGCCTACTTATGAAATGTACATGTCATTTAAACTCTGGAAGCCTAAGAATTCTTTACAATAATGTGTGGTTGAATTGACATTGTACAAAAATTAGTCATATTGATCTAGAAATGTTAAACAATTTTTTTCCATTTGTACAGGGGTAACACTGTTTTAATTACCTAATATATCTGCATTGGTTTGATTACATAGTTTCAAATAAAAAAATACTGTGCCTTGAGAACTGCTATTTTTCTGTCTGAATGGTACTGTTAAAACTTTTGTATGATAAAAAAATGAAGAAAAAGTATGTGTAGAATTTGACTTATAGTCTCACGAGAATATAAAAAAATATGGACTGTAAATTATTGTGTATATTCAGAAAAAAAGAACTAAACGCTACCAGAGTAATGATTTCCAATGTGATTTTTTGGGGGCTTAAGCTGTTTTATTAAAGCAGAAAGGTTTTGGAGCCAGGATTCTGTTTTAAAAAGCTCTCCACATAACTGATAGCATACTAAAGTTTGTATCTACATGTCGGGATAAGTAAGAACATTTTTCCTTAGACTATCACATCCAGAGATAAGACACTTAATTTTTTTACATCTACATATTTGAACTGATTCTAAAACTTGGTATATAAACAAAGGAGACTTGGGATACACATGCAATATAATTCGTAATAGCAGTATACCCTATGCCTGAAACAGTTTATAAAGAAATCCTCTCATAAAAACTCCTAATCATCCCATCTTCCATGTTGGCCCAGTGAATGGGCAATAAAGTAGTATATCAAAGCAATACTAACTACTTCTACCCAAGAACAATAATGTACAGCAAGCCAGGTATAGGGTGCATCCTTGTCCTAGTATTCTGGGAGGCTAAGAAAAAAGGATGGCAAGTTTGAGTGTGGTCTGGGCAATTTAGCAATTAGTGAAACCTTGTTTCAGAATAAAAAATAAAAAAGGGAAGATGTGTCTCGTCCTGGGTTTGAATTCAACTACTGAAGAGACCAAAACAAAGCAAAAAAATTCTCACATAATATGAAAAAAACTGTCACAAGAGAAAAAGGAGGATATTAGATTAATTAAAGTGTCAGTCAATCATAATATAGGGTAAAAACTTAAAAAAAGAGGAAAAAGGGGCTGGGGATGTTGCTCAATGTGAAGGTCCTGGGTTCAATCCCCAGCACAGCAAACACATCTAAATTAAAAATTCTCCTTTACCAAATCAGACCTCTAGAAAAAGCACTGCAACTTTTATCATACCCTTTGTAGCTAGTTCTTCTAGCTGTATCAGCTGTATCAGTGATCCATGATATTCCACTTTGAATTTCTAAGTTTGGATTAAGTTAGACTCTTACTAAAAAACAACTCTAAGAACTGTATTTATTCTTCCTATAATACAGAGAAAATCTGGAAGATACAGTAACTGTGACAATATTTAGACCATCAATAGACTACATACACTTCGTTTTGATTCATAATTAGGGATTATATTTTATATATTAACAAATTTTAATTTACAAAAGTTTGCAAAACAAATTTTCATTTTGGATTCTTTTCAGAACTGCCATTATGGGGAAATTATTGGTTTAAGTTTTGCCTCCTCTTTTTTCTTAATGTTCTCTGATACAGAAAGTTGAGAAATAAAAGGGATCCCGTATAAAACAGAAGATCTAAACCATACACATTTCTTAATTCTTCAAATAATTAGTATTCTTTTTCAAAAAATGGCATCTAAGCAACAAAAATGTCCTTGTTATTATTGCTTTATACTTATATAGTTACATGGTTTTAAAATTTCTATAAGCTACTTCACAAAAACTAGTAATTAAGACAAACTTTTTCCTTTTGGACTACTAGTAGTTGTTTTTATTATCTAATATATGATTATAACAACTGCTGGATTAAAAGTTTTACACAAACCTATGATATTTCCCAGTGCCCACACAGCTTGCTCACAGACATTCTGATGGGGAGAATGGAGAAGCCTCAAGAAAAGTGGCACAGCATCTGAAAGAAGAAGTTAATACTTAAGGCTGAAGATCTATACTGTGAATCAAAATTGCTAAGACTTCAAAAATAAGAGGACTATCAAAAAATACTGAAAGTATATCCTCATTAAATGATTATCAGGATAGCATTATTAGAAGAATTTTGACTAGTACACTACTTATTTAGTATCAAAATAATATACAGACAAATGTCAAATTAGGATCGTAAAATTTCATTCACAATTAAACCTGGACTTAATTACAAATTTTGGAGGGGTTACACTGGAGATTGAACCCCAGGCCTTGTATATGCTAAGCACATTCACTACCATTAATCTATACCCCTACCTCCAACTTCATTTCAATTGTACTTCTTTATAGAGTATTATCCTCAAGTTTCGAGTGTAAAAGTCCAACTGTTTAAATAACTTTTGAGTATGAAAATTTAAATTAACACCACATGGGTAAACAGGCTGGTGATTCCTGAGTCACATGAAACCTTGTGAATTAAAATATGATTTCTGTTGCTTAACAAGGATGGGAGCAGGTCTGTATCTGAACAGATTAACAATTCACTGAACGAATGACTCTTCTTTCTTCTGACATTACCTTAAGCAATAAAGTTTTTTTAAAAAATTAATTTTATTGTTACATTTAATGGATACAGTATAAGACACTTATCATTGGAAATTTGTACCTTTACATAATCCATCTTGTTTCGTTTTATTTTTTCCCCATTTCCCTGCCCTCCCTAGCTACAAAGACTGTTTCCATTATTTTTCATTTTCTCATATTAATTTCATTCCCTTCTTTCATTTCTCCTCTCCTTCCCCTTTCCTTCCTATTTCACATAGTCTATTGTATCTTTTAGTTCTTCTTTATACGTTCAGTTCTTCACAATAGAGAACTATTTGGTATTTACATGTGTCCTCTTTACTTCACTTTAAGAGTATTGCCTCAATGTGCATTCATTTAGCCATAAATGTCTCTAGTTTTTCATTCTTTATGACTGAGTAGTACTACATTTTATAAAACAAACACATCTTCTTTATCCAGTCTCCAAGCAATTGGGCAGCTTCCAAGTTTTAGCGATTACAAACTGTGCTGCTATGAACATGGGTGCACACATATCTCTGTGGTATGATTCTTTTAATTCTTTGGTGAAGATACCCAGCAGAGGGACAGCTGGGTCAAATGGGACTTCCAATCATAGTTCTCTGAGGAATCTCCATAATGATTTCCACAGTAGTTGCACCAGTCTACACTCCCACCATCAGTGGAGGAGGGTTCCTCTTTCCCCACAGCCCACCAGCATTTGTTATTGGTTGATTTCATGATAGCAGCCACTCTTTCTGGGGTGAGATGGAATCACAGTAATGTTTTCATTTGCATCTCTCAAATAACCAGTGACATTGAACATTTAGATGGAATCACAGTAATGTTTTCATTTGCATCTCTCAAATAACCAGTGACATTGAACATTTTTTTATATGTTTATTTGCTATTTCTATGTTTCTGTTGGAGACACGCCTGTTCATTTCAGATTTCCATTTTTGGATTCGGTCTTTAAATTTTGGGGATCTGATTTTTTTAAAGTTCTTTATGTATTCTAGATATAGATCTTTGTCTGAGGAACAACTCATAAAAATTTTTTCCCACTTTATGGGTTGTCTCTTCACACTACTGGTGGTTTCTCTTGCTGTGCAGGAACTTTTTAATAAGAAGACATCCTACTTGTTGATTTTGGTAGTTCACAGGCAACTGAGGTTTTTCTTCATAAAATCTTTTCCTACACCAGTGTCTTTGAGAGTTCCACCTAATCTCTCTTCCAGCCTGTTTACTGTTTCTGAGGAATAAAATTTAGGTGTATGCTGACCAATCGGGCTTATTTAAATAAACAGTAATTTAATTATCTATTATTTTTGGCATATTAAAGAGAGGCTAAGAGTGATACATTTGAAGGCTTTTTCTTTATTTTATTTTATTTTATTTTATTTTATTTTATTTTATTTTATTTTATTCAAGGGGTGGGAGTAGAGAGAGAGAGCAGAGAGAAAGAGCAGAGAGAGCAGAGAGAGAGGAGGAAGAAGAAGGAGAGTTGAAGCCTTTTTCTAATCTTTAAGGATCACATAAGACAGGAGAGAATGAAAATAAGATGTCATCATGAAATCATAAGTTACCTAATGATCAACCACACAAAACTAAAACACACGCATGTGCACACAAATATACCTGAATCCAAAACTAAAAGTTTTAGTAGGGTTTAATAACTTACGAGTCCAATTACTTAAATACAGGTGAACAAAAATTGCATATCTTTTTTTTGTTTTTTTAAGATAAAGGAAATCTAAAAACAATTTTATTAAATTTACTCAGTAATTTTCCTGTGCATGGTGTATCTTAAAGCATTCAACACATAAAGCAATGTTACAATCTGGACAATATTATCTTTTTTCCATTATTGTGTTTCTTCGAACAACACATTTTACATTGTCATGTGGGTCTTTCCTCTTTTTTCTGTGGGTGGCATAATTTCAAATGTCTACCCACTAAAATAATGGTGCTGACATTGATAATGGACATCCTGATTGGCATTTCCCTATCTAATTTTCAATTTAGCTTATTAGACCTAATCTAAATTGTAAATAGCGAGTTCCATATTGTTTGGTCCAGAAGTTACATAAATATTTTATATTATTTTTTCTTGCTCTTTGATTACAGGATAGCTTGACAGATGTTAGTTAACTCTTATCAACACCACCCATAGAATTATTATAATCATTGGCTGTTACTGGAAATTTTCTTTCATGTTCTATCATTTCTGTATTATGAATAGTGTACAGTAAGGACACACCTTTTTTGTCTTTGCATTTCGTAACAGACTATTCCTATTTGATAAGCCAACACTTCTCCCTTTTTCAGTTTTTATTTTGCAGATCTTTTGGCACTTCCTTTCTATTCAGTCTCAGTGTCTCAAATGTGTCCATTTTGTATAGTAAAACAGTACCACTGAGTTCTAGAGAAGTATGAGAATTATAGCTAATTACAGTAAGTTTTTATAAATTGCAGCACAAAATTTATTTTTCACAAATAAAATCAAAACAAATTAGTAAAAGAAAATAACCAGAACTCATTATTAGATTTCACTAGAAACAAACATTAAAGGCAAGTACAACATTCTAAGTAGAAACATACGCAAAAAATTGTCGATAGAGACCAAATAAACAGACATACAAGTGTATCTCACACAAACAAGAATCAACTGGTTGAAGCGATACCTGCCTGAACACCACTCAGGATAGTCAGGACATAAGCAAATGAGCTCCTGAGTTATACTTGTGGTAAAATGTTAAGTGCTTAAGGTAGCTTTCTTTTCTAAGTAATAGAACACATACATTAAAATATAAAATGCTTATTAATTGGATAAAATTCCTGTCCTCTGCCAAATCGTAAGTAATTTACTGCTTGTGATTTTAACAAGTTTAGACCAATACACTGCTTACATTTAAAAAAGATTTTAAAAGTATCTTCCTTAAAACTATTAATTTCTTTGGTGGAAGAATGAAATAGTATAACATAATGATACTGTCAAGTTATCAAAAAACAAAAAAAGCAGTTTTATTATAATAACAAGAAACTTTCAAACCATTTTTTCAATAGGACTACTTCACAGATTTCCAAATATTATGATAGATATTTCATTAAAAAAGGTTGAGAAGTAGTATAACAATAGGTACAACTCCTTTTATTTCTACTGATGCCCTACAGATAAAATGAAATATAATAATAATGTAATCTGTTACTATAAACAGGAAATGTTCTTGGTTTTAGACTGTAACCAAATAAATTTTTCAAAATAGAAAATGTCAGTCACTGGAACACAATGATTAAAATAACATAATTAAATTAGCTAATTCAATATCCCTACATATTACTGGGTAGTTATTATTTTATAGTATAGTTACATTGCTTTGGGAGAATTACATATTGACTTAAAAGATCATATTAATAACCAACTTACTAGACTGAACCACTGCTTGAGTTTGTTCAGAGGTTCCAGATGCAATGTTTGTCAAAGCCCATGCAGCTTCAAACTGTAAAGAAGGACTACAAAATAACAAATTATTTTCAACAATAAAGATTTTTACAACGGCCCAAGTATCTGCCACTCATTTCTTCTTCTAGCATGTATTAAATATTCTGTTCTATCCGTTCAACATTAGGGGTTAAAAAAAAAAAGAGGCGGGGGTTAGACCAACCACAAAATTTATTCAGCCTAAAAACCTTCAATATTTCTTTATTTTTAGTAACATCTTTTTATTAATATTTTCAAACAGTTCTGGACAAGCACCTATTTGATCAAGCTAGTTCTTGGTAATTTCCAAAGCTTACACATTATTAGTAGTAGTGTTAAGATTAGTATTATTTTGAGACAGGGGCTTGCTATGCAGTTTAGGCTAGCCTTGAATTAATTATGTAGCTCTGGCTGGCCTCAAACTGGTGATAATCCTCCCGCCTCAGCTTCCAAAGAGCCAGGATTACAAGTGTGCAACACCACACCTGGTTATTACACATTAAATTTAGCATTCTGAAATTCTTCTTTGCTCCATCCTTCATTTCTTGGTATTAGCATACTTTGTACCGCTTTTCACTTTGACTTTTTAATCCTATCCCTTGGTCCCTTCCTAAGGACGAAACTGCTTCAAAGGACACATTCTAAATTTTAAAAAAGTACTTACTTGTCATCTCTTTCAAGACAATGGACTAAAATAGGCAATATTCCAGATTTTATTAAGTCATCAATTGGTGGATTTCGATCACTGGACAAAAGTTTCCTGTAAGGTATACACTTCTTGTGAAACAATGGCATATACTATTATAATGATATTCAAACACACACACACACACACACACATAAATATATAAAAATTGTTTTAGATGGGGTCTCATTGTGTAGTTCAGGCTCACCTTGCTATGTAGTTCAGGGTGACCTTAAACTAGGTATACTCCTGTTTCAGCCTCTTAAGTGCTGTGATTATAGGCATGTGCCACCAAAGATCAAATTTGCATTTGATGTATATTATTGTAGATCTGAATATTTGGCATAAATACTATATTTGAGAGTTACTTTTCATAATTTACATAATGCAACATTTTCTCTATAAAAAGATTAATTTACAAAATAGATTTTCAGATATGTCCAATAATTTTAAAAAGCATGATAGGCATTTTACCAGCTTTGTTAGCGTAATATTAATTCTCTCAATAAAATTCTGAATATGGCTTATAAAATGACAAGTGCGCAAACTTCTTTAACATAATATTTATTTTGCTAAGAAAGAAATTAAGAAGTCACCAAAATAGCCAGAATTTTTTTACTAGGTCTCAACTCAGTCAAAAGATAAGAGTAGGCATATTGATGGTATACATTTATAGCTGATACTAGTATTCAATTCTTTTTCTTACTCTACACACTGAAAAGCCATAAAAGCCCAACAATACTTTCAACTTAGAAACTAAAGAGAAATGGAGTAACTTCAATAAACAAGAAAATATCTAAAGAGATGCTTGAGATACTGAGGTGAACAAGATAGAGAGCATCTCTGTTCTCATGGAGCTTACAGGATGAAAACAAAACAGTGCCTATTTTCACAGATGGGAGACTGTAGGTTTAGTAAGTCTTCAGTATAGTCTAACAAATTTTCACCCAATGGAATCCCCTGCACTGCTATTTAAAGGTAAATTTTAAGAACACTTAACTACATCATTCTACCACATAAACTGAGCATTGCTTATTTTTTACCTTATGAATACAAACTCTATGAGCTAACTTATAAACTGTTCCACAGGCTGGCTCCACCTACCCTAATTAATCTTATTCTCTATAACTCAACACTCAGTTGTCATACCATTTGTCTCATTTCTAAGCCCTTCCCTTCATATCCTTTATATTAGGAAGATCTTGTCTTCCATCTAGACAAACTCTTACCTCTTTAAAGTCCATTTTGAGTTCTGTTTTATATAATACTATCTTTGAATTCTAAGAGTGGCTAACACTATATAGTCATACATACTCATATAGATATACTAGTCATACATATATAGTCATATAGAGTATCACTTTTTAAAAAATGTAATTCTGTACTCAGATTCTAAACTTAAGGGAAAATTGTATCTCATAGTATTTTCACACTATTTTCCATAACACATGGCACAGATCTTACAAGTGGAAAATTTTTAAAGTTTAAAAATAAAGTATCAAGCTAGTCTTCCTCAGTCAAGGTTTTGAGAGATCACTGGTGGTGAAGAAAAAAAATTTACAGCTTCACTAAGGACAATTTTAAAAAGAGCTGATTATAATTTTGAGCTGTGAATAGTTCCACTGTTCTTTCCCTATGTACCAAACTCCTCTGTAAGAAGTTCTTTTACCCATATAATATAAGCCTGAAATTCTATAATTTGTTCTAGGTTATTTAAGAACACACAAAATAGGAAAAGTATAATACTGTTATAAAAAGGATTTACACAATGGGTAAGATATTGGATGGACCTGTGAAATTTTTCCCACTTTGAAATTCTAACTATGAGCAATTTCTTGCTTAAGTGTCCCTTTTCCACTAATGATCATAATATACGGTGTTATTTTTATTCTCACAAATATACAAAAAACTGCTATAATGTAGTATGGTACTTTTAGCCTTCTCAAACCTAGCTTTTTTTTTTTTTTTTTGGTTTTTTGAGACAGGGTCTCACTATGTAGTTGAGACTGACCTGGAACTCACTATGTATCCCAGGCTGGTCTCAAACTCACAGTAATCCTCCCGCCTCAGCCTTCGAGTGCTGGGATTACAGACGTGTGCCACCACGCCTGGCTCAACCTAGCTATTAATACAAATGTTTCAGTAATATGTTTTTATGGCTTTTTCCTTAAAATATGTAACTCGATTTAATATTTGATCAATATGAGAATTGTCAAAATTAGCTATCTTGGTAAGGGTTTGAAGAATCTGACTTTTTTTGTGTGTGTTTTTTGGAGACAGGGTCTGTGTATCCATGGTGGCCTTGAACTCATGGCAATCTTCCTTCCTCAGCCTCCTGAGGGCTGGGATTATAGGTATGCGCTACCACATCCAGTAAATGAATTGTATAAAATAAAGCCTATAAACTAGTAACAGGGAAAGCTTTATAAATAATGCCTTTTTATTACTCCACAACACTAACTTGTTATATCAACTTTTCCCTAATATGTTTATGTATTAGGTACATGAATGCTTCAGTGTATTTAAATCATGACTTTCACATCAAACTTTTGTGAGCTTAAGAGTACAGTTACATGTATTTAAACTCACGAGTCTTTAAATTGCTATCAATTTTTATACTGTAAATGCAGAGAACTTTTTTTTTAAATAAACTGACTTCCTTATTGTTGGCCATTGAAGTTAAGTTTTTTTTTTTTTTTGAACAGGGATTGAACTCGGGTCCTTGCGCTTGCGAGGCAGGCCACCGAACGGTTGAGCTAAATCCCCAGCCCTATTTTCTTTTTTTTTGAAGTTAAATTTTATTAGCAGAATTCCTATACCATACTCTCAATAAAAACTGTGCAAAATATAAAATTTAAACGTCCTCAAAATTTAACTTACCTAGCAGCTTGAACTGCACTTAATTGAATTCCTTGGTTATCACTTGAAGCATTCTATAAAAAACCGAACGGTTGAGCTAAATCCCCAGCCCTATTTTCTTTTTTTTTGAAGTTAAATTTTATTAGCAGAATTCCTATACCATACTCAAAATAAAAACTGTGCAAAATATAAAATTTAAACGTCCTCAAAATTTAACTTACCTAGCAGCTTGAACTGCACTTAATTGAATTCCTTGGTTATCACTTGAAGCATTCTATAAAAAATAAAACAGCTTGTGATGTAGCTACACAATAATCAGTTGAGTACAACAAATGTGAAGAGGGATAAAAATTCAACTTACTTGAACAATAGCTTCTAGAGAGGTATTTTGCTGAGAAAAAAAAATTACACAGAAAATTAAGTTAAACAGTCACCTTAAAATGCTGTATTTATGTGAAATCTTTCACTGGTAGTTTTAAGTTACCAGAATAATAATAACTTACCACTCTATAATCTCCATCTATATCAGAATCTTCGCAGATATCTTCATGTGGTACATTCCTTCTCTTTAAGAGATGTTCATCTCTTTTATTCTTTAAAAAAAAGTCAAAGAATTTCAGTTTTGTTAAAAAAAACTAAACACTGTCATATAAAGTTAGGCAAGTGTGTGCCTAGATAAAAAAAATATGAAGCACCTTTTAGTGTAACACTCAAATGCAGAATTTAAATCAAATTGTGAATTCAACACTTAACTGACACTCATTTGAGTCCTAAACCACAGATATTACATTTCCAATGAGCTGTGAACTATATAAAACAAAACAAAACGGTGGACTAAAAAAGATAGTTAAGCCAGGACCAACTATATATATTTTTACTTAAAAGTACTAAGCTACTTTACATATCATCTGGGAGATTCTCTTTATCACTTTAAAAATCAGGCAGTTCAAAATTAATCAAAAATCAACAATGCTTTACAAAAATCAAATGCCCTTCGAGTTTCACTTACAAAATTTGGGGCAAATTTACAAGTACATTCTCAACTCGAAAAGTAGGTGAAATTTCCAAGTACCACGTTCTTTTCAAGACATAAGTACTGTCCCATTTTAACAGAACTATAACTATCTCTATCACCCTTTTAAAGTAAAATTACAAAAATATCTGCTAAGTTGTTTATATTCTTAGTGGACAAGTTGTATCCTGACAATAGCTTTTTAAATTCAGTACAAGTTTTCTTCTTTCAAAGAAATGCTGAATGTTTGAGACTGAAAAGACCTTAACTATATTCAGTAAGTAAAATTCAGTTATATAGCAAATTACATATTTTACATACAATATAGATTTGATATTTACTACATATGCCATAATCTTGGTACCTGGAAGTACCAACACTAATCAAACTCACCTTCCGTAATTCAACTACAACTTCATTTCGCTGTCTTCTCATAGTCTAAAATAGAGTAAAAAAATTTTTTTTAACCACCTAAAACTCCATCATGTAAAAAAAAACAAACCCCAATTATTAACATTTTAATGTATATCTCTAACTTTTCTTCAAGTCACATATATATGTACTCTCATAATATATTATCATACTATATAGATGATTTTCTACCTTCAGCTCAATTTATATTCCAAAATATTAGTCTCTTTGAAATTATTATACCTAGAACACTAGACATATCATGATTTAAAAAAACTATAACATAAGGTTTATTAAAAAAATAGAAGTACAAGCTGGGTGTGGTGTCACACGCCTTTAATCCCAGCACTGGGGAGGCTGAGGCAGGAGGACAGCTGTGAGTTCAAGACCAGCCTGGGCTACATAGTTCCAGGTCAGTCTGGAATTAAAAGAAAAAAAAAAAGTACAAAGAATAAAAGAGCCTATAATCTCACTCCCCATGTGAATCAGTGACATTTTAAAAAGTCAGTACTGTATGTAAAAGGCTAGTAAATTCAACTGCTAAGGAAGGGGGAGGGACAGGGACCGTCTTCCTGCCCACCCAGTCTCTCTAAAAGTAAACAGTATTACATTTACTATTTCAGTTTACTTTATTTATATAGATCTTAGAGATTTTCCATGGCGGCATTTACAGATCTTTTGTCTTCCTAATGATCAAATAACTATTTTATCACATTCTGTGGCCATTCTCTTATTTTTTTATCAGGTTGGTTTTTTTTGGTATCAGTGATCAAACTTGGCCCTTGTGCTTGACAGGCAGGTACTGGAACCACTGAGCTAAATCCCTGGCCCCCATTTTTTCTTTCCCCAGTTTTTTTTTGTTTTTTTTGAGACAAGGTCTCACTATGTAGTTGAGACTGACCTGGAACTCACTATGTAGCCCAGGCTGGTCTCAAACTCACAGCGATCCTCCTGCCTCAGCCTCCCGAGTGCTGGGATTACAGGCGTGCGCCACCAGGCCCGGCCTCTTTCCCCAGTATTAAAGGCACATCTTACATAGATAAATTTTCATTGTAAAAGTCAAATATTCAGAAATAAATTCAAACTGTTTCTACACACAGGCTCACCTCACTCTAATAAATGCACATGTCAAGACACAGTAAGTGGAAACACTAAGTCACAAAGAAGTACTTAATATGTAAGAAGTATCTCAAGCTTATTCACACTTGATCTTAGCCAAAAGCCGAGAAGTGATCTTTCAAGCTTATCCAAAACTGAACTTTTTGATCTTTAACAAACATACTCCACCCCCATCTCAGCAAATGGCAGGTCTACCCTTCTGTGTGCAGAAATCCAAAACCTTGAAGCCATTCTTAATTTTTTGTATTCTTCTATTATGTACTCACTCTCTTAGCAAATTCCATCAATTCAACCTTGAAAACACAAGCCAAATTCCACCACGTCACTTTCTACTCGTCCAACTCATCATCTCTCACCTAGATTACCGAGAAACCCCTAGCGTGTACCCCTCCTGCTCATGCCCTCCATCCCTTCTTTCCCAGGCTAGTCCTCAACAGAGGAACCAGAGTAATTTCCATAGGAAGTTTAAATTTTGTGTGCCACAGGCACCTGTGGCAGCTGGTTATCGATTATCAAGAGAAACAAAATATACTGATACATAATTATGAAAAAAGACGAAAACATGAAATAACAAATTGTAAGATTCATTATTGCATTGTGATCTACAGTGGATCTAATAGCTGTTAACAATGACCATAAATGGCATCTCAATGTATCTGCAATAGTAACGTGAATTTTATCAGAGGTGACAAAGTCACAACTACCTGTCATTTACTGACTATATTATTAAGTGCAAGAAATACTGGTTCAGTTAAAAGTTAAGGAAAGTAAATTTGTAAGTTTTTTCTCCCTGCATGTGCCTAGGCCTCCTGAATTCTACCTGCAGAATCCAGAGGGTCCAAAGGCTGTCAATAAAGAACTACTTTCTAAACCGGGTGTGGTGGCACATGCCTGTAATCTCAGCACTTGGAGGCTGAGGCAGGAGGATCCATGTGAGTTCAAAACCAGCCTGGGCTCCACAGTGAGTTCCAGGGCAGTCTCAACTACATAGTGAGACCCTGTCTCAAACAAACAAACACCACAAAAAGAACTACTTTCTAAAAAGTCAATCAGACCATGCCACTTCCCTTTTCAAAACTATCCCATAAATGACTTGTCCCTTCAGAGTAAAAGTCCGGTCTTTCCATGACTTAAATCCAGTCACATCTTCCCACTTCATCCCTTCTGCAATGTCAGTCCCTGCTGTTCTCTCCATTCATTCTCCTGCTCCCACACCAATCTTGCTACACCCCCAACACACTGGGAATTCTCTTGCCTCATGGTCTTAACAAATATACTACAGTAATTCCTGAAACATACACACATTCATTCATTCATTTATTTATTTGGTACCAGGGATTAAACTCGGGCCCTGGTGCTTGCAAGGCAGGGGGTAGAAACACAGAGCCAAACCCCCGGCCCCTAAAAAGGTAATTTCTAGATCCAAATTGCTTGAGTTTTGTTTTTTAGTCACGCCACTTACTCTGTCCCCCATTTTTTAAATCTATAAAATAAGAACAATCATAGACCTACTTTATAGGTTTACTTTAAGGTTTAAATAAATCAATATATGTAAGTACTTAAACAGGAGTACATGTGTTAGCTTATTACTTTTACTGCTATTTCCTGAGGCAGAAACGCTCTTCCTCACCATGTACACTGCTTCCCTTTTCTGGTCCCCTAACAATTTTCTATCTGGGCACTTTATCTCTTCCTTGTCTTATTTTTCTCCATAACATTTAGCACATTCTACCATACTGCATATACAATTTGACTTGCCTAAGGAACAATGAAGAATTAACATTATTTCTTCTTAATGTGTCTTGGCTAATCTTACATATACAGAAAAATTCTCCTAACTTTTTGACCAGGCGAATTTATTGTTTGCTCAGATGGAGATTTGGCAATCTTCACAGCTTTGGTACACATGGATTTTTAAAACATCATGACTCAACTGTAACACTGCTAAAAACAAACAAACAAAAACAAACAAAAAAGACTTTTTAAGCAGACACATGCCCCAGGTGAAAAATTTTACGCCATGAAACTTTGTTTCATGCACAAGATTATTAAAAATACTATATAACTTCAGGCTATATAGGTATATATGAAATATAAATGAATTTTGTAGCAACATATCACCAAGATAGACTTGCATAAGAAAATATTTGAACATCTGAAAATACAATACTCAAGAGTTCAAAACATTTTGAATAAGAGATTCTCAAATTGTATTACCAAGACAAATGGGCTCTATATATCATAATACAAGAATAAATAATTTTAATAATAATGGATAATAAAAATCTATGGCCCATTTCTCACATACGGAATATAATTTGTAAGATATGGTAAAAGATTGTTCAATAAACTTAATAGGACAGACTTCTATGGGACAGAGGTACTTCTAGCCTAAAAAGAGTTTTTATTAGTAAACACTACAATTAAATAGCAGGAATGAGGTTTAAAGAACTTTTTTTTCATAAGAGCAAACTAAGTCCTTCCATTATGGTACATTTTCTTTATTAAATTTAGAATTTTTGATAACTTAAAACTAAAGAAGAGCTACCAATTTATCAATACAGTAAAAATGTAAGAGTAGTACTATAGCTACCCACAGCAATTCTAAAAGATTTGACAATCCCTTTACTCTTGGGCAAGAGTTTCCAATTTCAAAGTAAAGACCATAAATGAATTGGTAGGAAGCACTACGTATGTCAGCCTGGCAACATTACCATGTTTTTCACTGCAAAAAACCAATGCCTTAAAAATGGTATTAGATATTGAGACATTTTCATTTATAACCCCAAATCAAATGAAGGATTTTTATTTGTGAGGTCCCATGAAAGTAGTACACAATTAAGCTTTTTCTCAGTATTAGCATATTTTGCCTGTTACATACTGTATAACAACACTACTTGGGAATTTATATAGTTTATACTAGTATAGTGAAGAGTATAATCAATTGGAATTTTTAAAAAGCTGCCAAATTGGTTAAAGGTTTATTTATAACCCATAGGGCTATGCAAAAGACAAAGGCCATGAATACAGTAGGACAGGACAGGCGACAAGGGGTAGGAGGTGGGGAGGGTGAGGATAAGAGTTTAGGCAAATCACTCAGTCTTTATATTTCTTTTCCATATACTTATGAAATCTTAAATTCAAGAAAAAGGGTCAAGAAATTCCCAAGAATTGTTTTCAAATAACTGAATCTTACAGAACACAGAATGCTACTTCTAAAGTAATTTTTTTAATTTAACAAATATTTACTACATGTACATCACTGTACTAAGGCCAGGGATTAAATATGCTCCTTGCTCTTATGAGGTATAGCTATGGCCTAGTATAGTACTTTATTGTAATAAATAGTTTCTTAATTCCCAATTAGTAGCTAATTTAACTTGTTAATTTTCAAGTCAATTTTATCCAAAGCACTGTTATTTAAAATTCTAAAAATTATAAATTTATTACATATTAACATACTGTAAAACATGATTATTTTAAATTTTATTGAGCGCAAAGAATTTAGATTAGGATTTACTTTCACTAGAGAAAAATTTGAATAAAATTCTTTCTCAAGTTAACTATATTAAGGGTAAGGAAAATAATACTTTGGTTTTATTCCATCGTGTCTGTCATGCAAACCTTAGGAAGATTAATACTTAGGTAATTGGGTTATTAATAAAAGAAAATAAAACTTTTAAAATTTATAGAGCAAAAGGTCTAGTGTATGTGACAGAACATACTATATATTGCCCCCTCCCACAGGCCAACATTATTTAGAACTCACTGGAAGGCATTTGTTTAGTTATTCATATACTTAATATCTTTAGAATATCCACGACCTTAAGGAGGTAATACTCTTATGACAAAGAAATAGAATTTAATAGAATAGTAAGAAGGCCTAACATCAAGCAAATATCAATAAACATTCTAAAC